AGAGAGAGAGAGAGAGAGAGAGAGAGAGAAAGGGAAAGAAAGAAGAGGGATTAAATGAAGCAACGAAGAAGAAATGTGCTTATGATAGAAATGCTTAGTTTTACTGAAATCAATCTTCTTTCTATCCATTTTTTTTTTTTGATGAGGAACTTCTCAAAAGAAAAATAAAAAAAAATTTAAATTTCTTGGCTGAAAAAAAAGGAATGACATAAATTAAGCATTTTTTTTTCCGGTTCATTCTCTCAAAGTGCTAGCAAAATTTTGGTAAAAATTTTGAAACTATTTAAATAAATGGACAAAGAAAGCAAATGAAGCTTTCCTGTTGTTAAAGAAATTTTGTTAGCATATGTTACTGATAAGCTACTGATAACATGTGTTACCGATGTGTTACTGATAAGTGATAATTTCAATTTACTTCTATTGTTATCAATTCTTTCAATCTAAATATTATTGATCATTAAAAAAGGAACGAAAAAAAAGTAGAAAATTGTTCGAAACAGAAAAGTATCCGTTTGTTTATTTGTTTACTTGTTTGTTTATTTGTTTCTTCATGTGTTTGCTTGTTCGTGTGCTTGTTTATTTGTTTATTTGTTTGTTTGTTTTTGTAAAAAAAAAAAAATTGTTGGTTGAATATTTGAATTTGTTGAAAAATTTTTGAATTCCTTTTCATTTGCTTTAATTTATTTCATTTTGGATACATTTACCTATTCACTATTTAATTTACATTTTTTTAAATTTACTTACTAAATTTGGTTTGTTTATTTATCATTTCATTCACTTTACCTTGAAAATTTTTTTTTACCAAATTTATATCAACTTTCATGTCATTTCCATTTTTACTTTGTTTTTGAAATTTATCGACTTTTACGGTAAAATATATGAATAAATTCCTTTTTTTTTATAGCAAATAAATAAATTCAAAGTTTCACTTTGTTTTGAAATTTTTTTTTCTTCATTAAATCTATTTATTGAATTTATGTTATTTATTATTTAATTTACTTCGAATTTATTTACTTAATTATTTATCTGAATTATTATATTTTTATTTCGAATAAAAAATATTAAATCTATTCATTTATCATTGTTTACTAATTCGATTAATCCGAGAATGTAATGATGATTTAAAAAGTATTGGACAATGACGCCATTAATTCGATTTATAAGTCATGAGCTATATAACGTCATCTTACTACAATTCTTGCAAAAAGCGCTATAAATTTTCCATCTCTAAATGATAAATTTTAGCATAAATTATCAATTTTCTTTTTTTTTTTTTTGAGAATCAAACAAACAAATAAATATTGAAATTAAGAATGGAATAATTAACAAGAAATTAATTTGGCACAAGCGAAAATAAATTGGGCGCAAAAATCCATAATGAAAGGAAAAAGAAAAACTAAAAACTAAATTTTAGGATTTAAAATTGTGAGAATGAATTGGGCGCAAAAAATCCGAAATAAAAGGGAAAAAAAAAAACTAAAAACTAAAAACTAAATTTTAGGATTTCAAATTTCATTTCAAATAAGTTTTTTTTTCTTTTTTGAAAATCGATTAAGATATATTAAAATTTTTTCATAAGAAATTTAGCTTCTTTTTTGTCTTAAAATTTTATTTTATACATAAAAGTAAAAAGTACTGCTAACATTTATTTCGATTAATATTATTGAAATTATATTTAACTCAAACTTTTCTATTGCTGCTTTTATTTTAATCCTTTTAAATATTCTTTGGATTTCAAAATTAAATTGAAAAAAAAAAGATTTTAATTTATAAAAATTTTTTAATTTTTTCAAAAACTTTTTGAATTTTTTTTTTTTATTTTGTAAATAAATGATACTTTTTTAAATGCTTGATGAAGTTTATTTTTTTTTTATCAAAGTTTTCAAAAAAAAAAAAAATTTTTTTTTCTTATTCAAATAAATAATTGGAAAAATTTTTTCATATTTTTTTTGCACTTTTTTTTTATCCCTTTTTTTTTTTTAGTTTTGCAATATCATTAATCATAGTATAATTTATGGAAGAAAGTGAGAGAGAGAGAGAGAGAGAGAGAGGAAA